GAGCCGTGGAGGAACTGGTGTCTTTGTTGTTGGTGGCGCGGGAGGCCGGGAGGAGGGAAATGGAAACCCTAGAGAGGAAGGCGAGTGGTGGAATGTTGTAATAGCTGATATGATCCAAATCCGAAGAGAACCCTCGAAGTCGGATTATATGACCAAAGTACGCAGCTTCAACGATCTTTTTTATGATTTTCTGATGTCGCCTTTCTTGAACTCGAAAAATATAGATAGATGCGGAATCAATCGGACAACCCCAACCGTGATGAAGGGCAATTGGTATATGACACCAATCGGACAACACCAACTCGTGGAAAGGGGCAATTGGTATAGGGTAGAAGCTCGCCACAACTAGACGCGTTCTCTAGTTGATAAGAGACACGTGAAACCTCTGGAGACTCTCGACAGAAGCTTGCACAAACGTTCACAAAGGAACACGAGTAAAAACTCTTAATTGATAACTTGAATGTTGGGTACCAAATTCGTAGGTCTTACACCCTCTATTTATAGAGGTCTCAAAACATAAAACTAACCTAAAAGGAATAGGAAAACAAATCCCAAACTAACTAGGAAACATAATACTACTTAAATAAGGACTATAGCTCGTTTTTATGACCAAAGGAAGCTCCTTAGCAGCTAAGTAATCTCCAGACACGTTTTTAATGCTTAAGGAAGCTCCTTAGTGGTTAAGCAATCTCTTTCCTTGTCCTTTTCACATTTGGATTACTTGGGCAGCAAGGATGGACGTTTTGGGCTCCAAGAAATGTTGTAGGCCGGATCCTTAATGCATTCTCCATTTTATCCATCAAGAATGCTCCCAGTTGATCCTTAAATTGTTGAATTCGAACCTTCATTTTGGGACCACGAGAATTGAATATCGCGCTAGTCGATATCGCATCATTCCCTCTCTCTTGAAGAAGATTCGACCTCGAATCTTTATAGAATCGTGATCCTTGATGAGCGCCACTCTTCTTGGTCTTCCAACGAAATTGCCTTGGTGAGGATCGTATTATTCCCCCCTTCTTATGAACAATTCGTCCACGAATTGTAGAGACATCACAAAGTGGAAAATTTTCTATGTAGCTCAGAACCTCTCGTCGATTTTCCATGTGGACTTCCTCTTCGATAATTGCATCACCAATCGCAAAATCAATATGAGCAACTTCGAGAACTATTGGTAAATGCTCCATAATGTCCAAGCATTCATCTCCGCCCTTGCATTCTGATTCCTCATTGAATTGATCAACTTCCGGCGTACTAAAATCTAGATCATCAACAAGAATATCTTCTTTCACCTCTTCTGTTTCTTCTAATTCTGGTTCTTCTTGTTTCTCTTCTTTGGCTTCTTCTTCGACTTCTTCTTCTACTTGGGAAGTAATCAGACTTGTTGTTGTACTTAAACCAATTTCTTTCTCATCCCAGACTTTAGCTTCTACCTCAACTTCCTCACCATTGATTGAGCTTAAAGAAGCATCACTTTTATCAACATCAACGGATCTTGCACTGGTAGCCTCTTGCTCTTTGTCCTTCTGTGGTTCTGGACAGTTGATCGACAATTTCTCTGCTTCCAGATTCGCCTGCTCCTCCTCATAGGCTTGTTGTAATTGCCTCCTGTCTTCAGCAACCGCTTCCAATGATAATGGTATCAAGGCAAGTTTCTTTCCTTGATGCCTTAAGATGATGTTGCTGGTGCTTCTGCTTTGTCGCGCTTGGCGATCCTTGTGCCATGGTTTACCAAGTCCCACATGAGTAAGCTTCATAGGCACGACATCACATAGAATTTGATCCACATAAGACCCGATTTTGATATCCAAAGACACTTGTTCAGTCACAAAAACCGAGGCCTTTTCCATAGACAATTGCATAAAGAAAGGGCTAGGATGTCGTTGTGTAGTTAGCTCTAACTTAGCTATTACCCTTGAACTGATCAAATTCGATTTGATCTCTCCATCAATAACCACAGAACACAACTTCTCTTGAACCCAACAACGAGTATAGAACATATTACCTTGTTCTACCTTTTCCGTCATCGCTTCAAGAATGTCTCTCTTCTCCACTTGAGTTTGAACCAGTGATTTTCAAATCACCTCTGAGTTTGAACCAGTAATCTTCAAATCGCCGCTGAGTTTGAACCGGGCTCTGATACCACTTGATATGATCCACTGCCTTCGCTCGCTCCTCCTCGCCTCGGAGCTGTTGCAGCAGGGTGGCCCGATCTTCAGCAGCTTCTTCTGGCGACAGAAGCTTTAGAGCAAAAATCTTTCTGCAATGCCGCAATCTGATTCGTTTGTTTCTCCTGCTATGTCGAGCATCGTGATCATCGTGCCAAGGCTTCCCAAGCACAACATGAGTCAATTTTAGAGGCACAACGTCGCACCGAACCACATCTTCGTAGCTCCCAATTCTGAATGGTAAGATTACTTCCTCTATTACAAAAACAGGGCCTTCTTTCTCCAACAACGACACAGAGTAAGGAGCTAGATGTTTTCGTATCGGCAGCCCCAATTTAGCCACTGCTCGTGAGCTAATCAAGTTCGATTGGCTCTCACCATTAACATACACAGAGCACACCTTCTCTCCCACCAAACAGCGAGTGTAAGAAGTCAGGTTACCTTGCTCAAATTCTGCCATTGTCGGAGCGCAGAAAGCTGTACTCTTCTTCTCCTGTCCACTTATTTGAACGGGGCTCTGATACCACTTGATATGATCCAAATCCGAAGAGAACCCTCGAACTCTGATTATATGACCAAAGTACGCAGCTTCAACGATCTTTTTTATGATTTTCTGATGTCGCCTTTCTTGAACTCGAAAAATATAGATAGATGCGGAATCAATCGGACAATCCCAACCGTGATGAAGGGCAATTGGTATATGACACCAATCGGACAGCACCAACTCGTGGAAAGGGGCAATTGATATAGGGTAGAAGCTCGCCACAACTAGACGCGTTCTCTAGTTGATAAGAGACACGTGAAACCTCTGGAGACTCTCGACAGAAGCTTGCACAAACGTTCACAAAGGAACACGAGTAAAAACTCTTAATTGATAACTTGAATGTTGGGTACCAAATTCGTAGGTCTTACACCCTCTATTTATAGAGGTCTCAAAACATAAAACTAACCTAAAAGGAATAGGAAAACAAATCCCAAACTAACTAGGAAACATAATACTACTTAAATAAGGACTATAACTCGTTTTTATGACCAAAGGAAGCTCCTTAGCAGCTAAGTAATCTCCAGACACGTTTTTAATGCTTAAGGAAGCTCCTTAGTGGTTAGGGATGGCAACAAAACCCGAACCCACGGGTACCCACCCGACCCAACCCGGTCAACGCGGGTAAAATCCGTGTTGACGGGTTTTGGGTCGGGTTTGGGTTTAAACCCGTTCACTATTCACCGGGTTGGGTTTGGGTTTGGGTTTAGGTAAACCCGGCCCGTGGGTACCCGCCCACTCATATAATTAATTTTTTCGGTATATTTAATATTCTAAACAACTAATCTTATTTATGTTTGTGGAGACATGTCTAATTTTTTCTTTTTAATTGTGTAGAATGAAGTTGATGTTATGGAGTGGAGAGTAAAGAAACTTAATTGAAAGGAAGAAACTTTCAATTAAACATGTTATTTATGGATAATTTGTGATTTGCTTCAATTTTCTTGAGTTTTCTAGATTGGTGTTGAACAATTTGTATAGTTAATTTGTAATTTGCTTGAATTTTCTAGAATGGTGTTTTATATATGGATAAGATGTATTGAGAGATTGATATTTGACTTTAATTTTGATAAGAACTTGTAATTGTAAATTTTTTACGACAAAACCCGTGGGTACCCATGAACCCGCGGATACCCAACGGGTTGGGTTGGGTTTGAGTTTTTCAAACCCAGTGGGTTTTACCCCGAATTTTTTTCAAAGATAAACCCATAGGTTTGGGTTTGGGTTTGGCAAAACCCGACCCAACCCGACCCATTGCCATCCCTATTAGTGGTTAAACAATCTCTTTCCTTGTCCTTTTCACATTTGGATTACTTGGGCAACAAGGATGGACGTTTTGGGCTCCAAGAAATGTTGTAGGCCGGATCCTTAATGCATTCTCCATTTTATCCATCAAGAATGCTCCCAGTTGATCCTTAAATTGTTGAATTCGAACCTTCATTTTGAGACCACGAGAATTGAATATCGCGCTAGTCGATATCGCATCAATAGCCTAGTAGGTATTGTTGAAGGGAGCTGATGCAATGGCGGTTTCTATTAGAAATTCAAGAAATTCCGATGGTGAGGATTGAGGAGTGTAGTCCTGGAGCTGGATTGCTGGCGCGAGGGGAAATGGCGAGGGAGTAACATTTTTTCGTGAGCGGTCCCGAAAACCCCCAAACCAAAGTAAACGAAAGATTGGAGACGACGGGCGGTGGTGGGAGGAGAGGATGCGGTGACGGTGGGATGGGATAGGTCGATGTAATGGGTGGGCGATAAGAGGGGGGTTTGAGTTTTGGCCTGCGGCTGTTGATTTAGGGGAGGTGTAAATTGTATTTACCCTTATAATTTTGTGGGTTAATCTTTTATAATTTCCTCTCAATTTTAATAATTTATAATTTTGTTTTTATCTTTTTAATAGTTAGAAATGAGGTGGAAATTATAAAAAATTAATTTCTTATTTTATTAATTTTTTAATTGCCACTTCACTCACTTAACGGTCAACTTTAAAGATTGACAGCCACGTAAGCAAAAGTTAACGGAGTTGGACGGAGAGTGACCAAACGTGAACGGTTTCAGTAAAGTGAAGTACTACCAATGAATTTAAATATTTAGAGTGACCAAACTTGAACATTTTTTGTAATCTCAGTGACCAACTATGCAATTAACCCCAATATATTCGATAAAGAAAATAAAGGATCTCCTCCTATGGATCTGACGGCTGAAAATATTCATCCAGTACAGTAACCGTCGTTTTCTATAATGACCTGCCCCTGTAAAATTTAAATTGTGTTTCCTCTCTCTCTCTGACTTAACCTAAGCCAAACCTAACAGGTAGTGCTTACTTTTCTTTTCGCCGTGCGTCACGCTAGTTAGATTTTTCTCTGAACACAAACCTCCCTTTTCTCCCTCTTCTCTCTGGCAAAGAACGTTTCTCTCTCCTGTTAATCCTTTCCTTCCTCTCTCCTGATAAAAAGCTTCTTTGTTCGACGAAGAAGAACACCGCCGCTGCCGGCCTGGTTTGATTGCGGGAGGTCCCGATCTAAGTCGATATTCTCAGAACTGCCAAAAGGCTCCGCCGTTGGCTGCCTTCTCAGCCTCCACAGGGATCCAGATCTCGGCGAGGAGTTATCTTAAAATCAATCTCTTCTCTCTGATGACAGAAGGCTATGCAGCTGGCTGCGGCCTCGGCCTCCACAAGGCTCCGGATCGGGATCCAGATCCAGATCCAGATCCTTTGTTATGTTCAAGGTGGCCGGCGGTGCCTTTTCTGGCCTCCGTGGTAAGATTTGTTCTCCCGATTCTTAAATCTGATGTATGCTGCTTTGTTTAGTTTCAATTTTAGATCTCTGATTGTTTTTCTTGCACAGACAGGACCGGGCTGATAAACTAAGCCTCTGCTCGACCTAGAATGGAAGAAAGGCTTTTGAAACCAAAGTGTTTGTTGGCTCTCCGTCGGCGGTGGGATGCACCGGGTAATTCCCGTAGGTGGTGGGGCTGCGCCGGAAAATCTATCTTAACCTTGCTCCGCGGTGGACAATGGATCTACAAGAAGCTGGTATTTTTCGTGTACTAACTAATCATTCATGTTTTATATGTGATTTGATATTTATCATCAGATTACTAGTTTCATGTATAGTTGATGTCTAGTGAATATAGGAATTCGGGTATATGAATTTGGATTTGAAAGCATAATAAGAAGGATGGCAGCAGGAATTGATGAAGAGAGAGTTCAGGTTGGGAGTGCGAATTGATCTTAGAGAACAAAGATAGACTGGAAAGTGTCCTAAGATTCTCCAATGTCACGAGTATGGGTGCAAGTTTGGTCCGGTTATTCGAAAATCGATAATTTTTAACGGATTTGGTTTCGGTCATAATAAGCTAGAAAATTGAAAATAAACTTTTGATTGCGGTGAGGAATATAGCTTTCCCGATCCATTAACTGTATTTGGTGTTAATCGAAACCAAATTCTTTAAGGGCTTATCTATGTTTACCCATTAAGAGAAATCGAAAGGCATATGAAACCGGTTGGGTTATGGTTAATCTTAACCTAACGTTATGAAACTCTGAAGGTTAAGCTGGTTCTGTGAAGAGATAAAATTTTGACCTAAAATTAGCCTCTCGGTTCAGCCATCAATCCTTGATTTTAGACTACAAACAAAATGCACAACTCATAATCAGCTGCTGTTACAAGTTGCTTTATATGGGTGGGCTCCATATCACGAATGCTATGTGAAATCCTAAAGTAAATGAAGCCCAATAGCTCCTTTCTACTTTTCTTGGTGTCAGGGCCCACTATTGGGCTTGGAACATTAATTCTTGGGCTTTCTCTTCCCACAAGCCTTTTCCTTTCTGCGCAGTGTCATTTCTGGGCCTTACAAAATTCAACAATTGGCCTGCTTCATTTTACTCCCAAATATACACTGGCTATGCCATTCTTAAAATTTAGAGTAAATGCCCAATTTAGACTTTAGAGTGTATAGGAAATTCCACGGTTCCCCTCGTTAAACGAATTTTGTGCAATCGAATTCAATGCCATAGTTCGGTCACTCTTAATTACCTAAACTCGCCAGGAACGGTATATAGTATGAGTGACATGTTCTGAGCCTCGTTATCATGCAAATATTTTTCTAGTGTAACCAGGTAGATAATTGTATGTTCAGAGAATTAGATATCATGAATATATATCCTTTTCTGTTCATTAGGCACCGTATCCTTACAATTGTCATTAGTTAGGTATAGATACCGTTGCCTTGTACTCGTCATTTTGAGCTGTCGATTAATGTTAGACAGATGTCAATCGTAACTTGTGATATAATGGAAAAGAAAGCACATGAGTTTACAAAAACAAAAAACAAAAAAAAAATCATTAAAATTTTACTTTAATTTGAAGGATTTACGGCTAGGGTTTAGAGTTCAAAATTTTAGGTTTTAGTGTTAGGGTTTGTAATTTTAAGATTTAGGACTTAGGATAATGCATGGATTAGTTGTGATCTTATGTTAGATCATCGTATTTAGACTATTGATACCAATAAAAAATGAAAATTTTGATTTTGCAAGACTAATTTTAGAGTTTGGTGCATAATACACACTTATTTTTGGGAGTGTACATTAGAAGACACCTATACATATTATCAACAACTTGTTAATTTTGCATTTTGAAATACCTGCTATCTCTAGATATTTGAAAATGACTCAAATAAGACAATGTGAGAATAAAATGCATCGATTTCCCCCTTTCTAAACGAGATAAGTACACAAAATTCCTATTAGCTTTTGTTGCTAGAGTAGTCTATTACAGTGTTCGGTACACCCGAACGCAGCTGATTAGTACTCTGTCTCTTGCATAAGGGGCAAGAGCAGCAGCGTCGCACTCACCATTCTGCCAGTAATCGGTACGCCATTTGCTCTCTTCCCCTCTCTTTCCCACGCAGCATTCCCCCCCCATTTTCTTACTTTGCTCTCGGTTGCAGAAAAAGCGAAGACGACAGACTGGGAGGCGACGGACGGGGAAGAGGTAGAGAGTAGAAGCTTCGGACGGAGACGGATAAAGGAATCCCTCACTCTTACTTCCATCTTTGACCACTCAAAATCCAAGGTAAATCTCGATGTAGTTAGCTAGCGATGCTTGTTTTGAATCCCTATTCCTCTTCTTCTTGGAATTTAGTGTTTCACAAGAATTTAGTGATTTGGTTAAGGGAGATAGGTGCTGCTATGGGATGATCGTTGTTTTAGTATGATTGATTTTTCTGGGGAGGCCGGATACTCTCTTTCTTCATCGGCATTGTGTATTAAGAAGTTTCTTTTGGAGGGGTCGTGCTATTGACAGCTTGGTGTGTGGGGGAGGAACTTTTGATCATGGAATGTACAGATGTAGCAAGATTTGCAGGGGTTTAGCAGGTTGCTGCAGATCCCGTGTTTGGGCGATTTTTTTTTTTCTCCAGTTTTGGGGTTTCTTTTGGACAGTGTTGCATTTGCCTTCTTCTTGCCGATCTTGGTCTCTTGGGTGGGATGGTTAGATGAAGCATTTGGATTGGGAGTCTTTTTCAGAGGGTAGTTGTTGTGAACGATAGCTGGTCTCTCGCTGCAGTGTGGGAGTTGCAGGGCTGGGCCTTGTCCACTTAGCATGCCTTTCTTTTCTTTTTCCTTGTCCTCTGGCACTCTTTTCTTTTTTCCAGGTGTTGTTTGGGAATGCTTGTGAACCTGGCAGCCCGTTGGTTTTCTTTTTTTGTGTTTGTACTGGTTATCAGTGTTTGTTTCTTAATAATAGCTCTGCACCATTACATTAGTCTTTTCTTAGAGCACCTGTTTATGTGTCTGCAGTTCATTCACCATGGTGTATGTTGCCAAGATCTCCACCCCTGAGGAGGAAACCAAGAAGGAGAAAAGGTATATGAAGACCAGTGTTCCAGAAGTGGCTAGGACGTGGTTTTGCCCCACTTGCGAGCCACCGAGCGTCAAAGAGAAAACGATGATGAGTTATGAGGAGAATGCCAAGCACAGGGAGGAGCAGCATCTTAAGCGCTACCGCTAGGTTAGATGGTGTTGACTTTTGAGTGAAGGTTTTCTGTTTTGGTTTGTTTGTGTTTTGACAGAATATATGTGACTTATTTTTCTTTTGTAGGTGTTGACGAATGCTAGAGTGGAAAGGTTGCTACTGTGGGATGTGCTCTTCTACAGTGTTTGGTAGTAGCTTCAACGTTACTATCCTTTTTCCTTTCTCTTTATTATATCAACAATTTGGACTTGTCTTTTTTTTTGGGTTTGGATTATGCGATGGTATTGTTAGAGGCAGTCTGGTGGTGAGACTGCCGTATCATCGTTCTATCATTGTTCGCTACAGTTCTATCATATTGTTAGCTACATTACTATGTTGAACCTGCCGCCTACGGTGAGATAGTATTTCTACCTGCGTATCATTCTACTGTGTTACGCAAGTTTCCTCTAATATTGAAGACAACACAAAATATTGAAGACAATACAGTGTTTATGAATGTTTGTTACTCGAGCTATTTTATGAGTTAGTTGATTTCAACTAAACAATTGAATGATCGGATAAAGTTATATTTATGATTAGTTTCTTATAGGATGGATGTTTGGTATCGGAATTTGGGATATACTGAATCCCGTACTTAGTTTGTCACCATTTGGTATTATTGAATACGGTTTTTTTTGTTATATAAATGGATGCATAGTATCTCAGCTTTCATTCAAAACCAGACGGGGTTTGAAAATCCCCTGAGAGTCATACAACGCCAAATGACGCAAAACAGGACGAGAAACAGGAACAACATGAAAACCAAGAGGAAGGGAAGATTGGACGGGAAAATTTCGAAATCAACAGCGGTGGCAAACAACTTCCCACGCGCGAATTCTACCGTCGACGAGCTTCTCAACCTCTTCGTAGGGGTGAACAAACACATCCGCAAACCGACCTACCCGTCCAACCCGACCCAACCCACCCGTATTTACCGCTAAAACAAAGGTTTTGGGTTGGGTGAGGGTTTTCTTTTGTACAACCCGCCTCTTTTGGATTGGGTTTGGATTTTGGATTACACAACCCGTAGAACCCGACCCAACCCGTGTTCCAACTATTAGTATGAGTTCGAATCTAAAAAATATTTATGTAGTATATAGTCATATACTTATGAGAAAATTAAGATATTTCGCCATGTTTTTCTCTCATGGTCTCCCTAATCTAATGCATTCTTCGACTTAAAGTTTAGACATAAATTGAATATAGTTATGATTCACGTAACCCTTTTTCTTGTGTACAATTTTAATAGAATAACATATGATGGATGCGTTTGCTTATAACATTTTTAGCCTATTTCAACAAATATAGTGAAAAAACAAGGCATATGTTGAAGTAAATTACATTTTATTAAAATTTAAACAACATTTGTGAATTTTCATACCTTTCACCTTGGTTCATTCGTTTGAAATTATAATTAGTTATAAAATATTTTTATGATGTAGAATAATTATATATTTTATGTTGGGTTGGGTTTTTACTTAAAAATATCGCCAACCCGACCCAACCCAATTAGAAACAAACCGTAGGGTTTAATTTTTTTTGAGTGGGTTTGGGTTTGATATTTCCCAAACCGTAGTGCATGGGTCGGGTGATTAAAATCACTAAACCCGAACCACCCGACCCATGTACACCCCTACCTCTTCACCTCCAAGGGGCTTTCGTGCCCGCAATTCGGCGGTGGAGCCGGCGTGGTGTCTTGAATTTTTTTACATTTTTTTTTTTGTGGAGGGTTATTTTTGAAAGAGAGTGGATGGGCTTTGTTGTAGAGATGTGTGCAGTTCGGGGCCCAACTTCCTATAATATTATTGGGCTCCCGTGAATAGCAAATTACTGCTTTGCTGAGCCCAATATTAAATTTTTTTCTCCATGGCTCATTTCCGGCCCGCTGCAATCCAGTTTCGGCAAGGAAAAAGGAAAGAAGAACAAAACAAGGATTCTGTTTTTTTTTTTTTTCCTTTTGTCGCCCGAGGGACGGATGGTTTTAACTTCTTATAAATACACACCTCTATACCGTAGCTTTCTTCCATAGCATTTTTGACAGAGAAATCGAATCATGATCGGAGAAGAAGGCCGCTCATCCACCGGAGATGATGAACCTTGGCTCGTTCTTTTCCATGGCCAGAGCCAAGTCTTCTACTCGACCTCGAATCCCAAGCAAATCCACCGTTGTCGGATTCCGCAGTTCGTCGACAGTCACATTATCGGCCACTCACAGTACGGCTGGTTAATCCTCCGAAGGGAAATCGACGACACGGCTACATCCTTCTCCCTGCTGAACCCCGTCACGCTCGAAACAATCGAGCTCCCCGCGCTGAACAACTCGTCGTCCGGCGGAGACAGGTTCGCGAGAGGCGAGCTTACTTGTCCACCAAGCAACCCCAACTGCAGAGTCGTCATCGCCAATAACCAAAACCCGCAACTCGCGCACTGCAAACCGGGGGACGAGACGTGGTCCGTGCAAACTTTCTCCGAAGAGTTCGATGCGTTTTACCGTCTCGCGATCTGCAACCAGAGCTTGTACGCCCTCACAGCGAACAGCCAGTTGCTCGAGATAACAATGAACAACCCTGACAACACCACCTACAACAACAACAGTCTCGTAGCTAGCTTGCTAGTCGAGAGCTATCCGTCGGATATGATTCCGCGGTACACCGAGAGATTGGGATACTGGAACCTGGTCGAATCGGGCGGGGAGCTGCTCTGGATCATCCTCTGCCATCGCAAACACAGCGATTGCGAGCTGGATTGGGTGCTGGTTCATAAATTGGACCGGTCGTCCATGAGTTGGGTACGAGTTAACACATTGGATGGACGAGCAGTCTTCGTTAGTCCCAACAGCTATTCATTCTCCTGCTCCTGCAACAACAACAACAACGGGATCAAACCCAATTGCATCTACTTCTTCCTGAGTGACGATTACCAGAAATTATTCGCTTTCGACGTCGAGAGAGGGCAGGCGTTACAGTGGAAATATGCTTCATCAAGCGACGACGACGAACCACTACTCGATGTTGCTTTCATCAATTACCCAGCAGCTCACCGAACTACTCCTCGATGCAGGTAAATATGCTTCTAATCGTTTGACAAAATCGCACAATATCAGTTTAATTTCGGATAGTAACAATTTGTTATTGCTTTTTTTTTCTTTTTACTGAACTGCAGCTTGGCTGGTGTTGAGACTAGTGAAATAGACCGAGAGACGGTACAAGTTGAAGTACATAATGAAACAAAGAGGGTGGAGAAGGAGAATGAGGAAGAGGAGGAGGAGGAGGCATTGCTATGGAAGCTTCCTCGGGAGATGTTCACCAACATAGCAAATAAATTGATCGACTGTAGAAGCTTCCGCACTTGCTGCAGGACACTTAAATCAGTCATACCTCTCCAGCCTCCACCGTATCCATGGTTCTTCTACTTGAAGCACTACAAAGGGAACCTCAATTTCCAGGACTTGATGTACGGGCACACACACGAGAAACAAGTCGACGATTCTCTTTCGACCGCAGAAGTCGTGTTCTCGAAGAAGTGTTGGTTGGTCATGACGATGATGAAGCGCATGGCGAATCCGGAGTTGGATCCGGATCTGCCAGTGAGACTCCACATTACATTCTACAACCCTTTTACGAAGGAAGCTCGCACTGTTCCTGAGATGGTACCCTATCCTTGTTCCCCTTCGAGCTTCGGGATCTCAGCTCCGCCTACTTCTCCGGACTGTTGTGTAATTGCAATGTGGGAAGATTTACGAAAGGAGGTAGTCTTCAGTTTCATGAGATTGGAAGACCAATGTTGGCATTTTTTTCTTCGACCGCACGACCAGCACGAATTCCAACTGAGCTACCACAACACTCCGGTTTTTCTCGACGATAAGTTCTACTTCTTGGATAAGGCAAGGAGACTGGGTGTTTTTAGCTACGGTGGTGGCTATGGGAGCGAGTTCACATGGACGTGGGATGTATACGATTGGAAGCTACTAGGCAGAGTTGATGAGCCGACTGAAGATCTTTGTGATGGTCGTGGACTCGAGTTGCAATATCTGGTGGAATGTAGAGGGGAAATCCTAGCAGTATTGGTGGGCGACTTTGGCGAGTTTGTTCGAGTTTACAAATTCAATCTGGAACATAAGGGATGGTTGGGAGTAGAGGATTTGGGATCGCACATGTTGTTTGTCAGCAGGACATCGTGTTTCTCCCGCGTGGAAGGGGTTGCCGGGATGGGGAACAAGATCTACTTTCCTAGAGTGTCCACGAAGCAGCAGAGCATGATGTTTTATTCGTTGGATGCTCGTGAATATCAAACGTTTGACTCTGAAGATCGTGCCATGGATGACTTCCAACCTTCTTCTGAAGTTTGTTCGAGTGGTTGGATTGAAACTCCCTTGAGATAAGTATTAGTCCACTACAAATGTCAAGCGGTTGCTCCACTCCAAGGGTTAGAAATATTGTTATTTCGTATTAGTGATTTTATTATTAGGGTTGGGCGGCCAGGCCGTAGTCGAATATTATTAGTTTATTATTAATTATTTTCTATTTATATGTATTTTGTGTTTTACATTAGAATTAATCAAGGAAATATTATGAAAAGAATCTCTCAAAACCCTACTCTCCCTTCTCTCAACTTGCTCACCTATCTCTATGGCCTGCATTAGTTTACCCTGGTAAATTGCTTGAATTTTTAAATGTGAGATTTAGACTCAAATCATCATTCGGAACCAAATCCCTAATTCAATCCACCAACTTGTTTCTTAATCTACAGCAATAAAATAATTCAAATTGTACTGTATATTAAAGTTGCCACTATATCATACAATATGTCAATACGAATACGCCTGTCCCTCAGCTCAGTAACTAGTCAATTAGAACCCACCATCGAAATAGCAAAATGAGAACAAAAAGACTTCCATATCAATCTGCAAAGGCCCGACAAGGTACTAGAGCCTCAGCTAAAAACCTCGTAAAATTTCTCAATCACAAGTAAGCCCGAGTCGATCGACTCCAATGGATCCTTTCTAAGACGGTGTCTCAAGCAGTTGGGAATCACAGTAGCAATATCTTCAGCAGACACCTTGTCCTTGCCCTTCAGAGAAGCAAGAGCTTTAGCAGCTCTATTGGTCACAATATCTCCTCTCAATCCATCCACATTGAGCTCTGCACACACCTTCGAGATCTTAACTTTCAGGTCGTGATCTATCTGCACAGCACCAAGACCCGCCCTAGCAGCCCCGATTTGCTGCTGAAGCTTCTCTTGCTCGGCCAAATAAGAACCTCGAAACTCCTTGGGGTTTCTGTCGAACCGTGCTCTCTCCTCCACAATCTTAACCCTCAGCTCCGCGTCCCTCACAGTGCCAACCTGGGCGTGCATCCCAAATCGGTCAAGCAGCTGAGGCCTCAGCTCTCCTTCTTCAGGGTTACCAGAGCCGATCAAAATGAACCGAGCAGGGTGCGAGATCGAGATACCCTCTCGCTCCACTGTATTCCATCCCGAGGCAGCTGAATCAAGAAGAACATCGACCAAATGATCGTCCAGAAGGTTCACTTCATCCACATACAGAATCCCTCTGTTGGCTTTGGCAAGAAGGCCTGGCTCAAATGCCTTGACACCTTCTGTCAAAGCCTTCTCGATGTCGATGGTTCCACAGACTCTATCCTCTGTAGCTCCCAAGGGCAAGTCGACCATGTTGATTTTGGTGAGGACGACGGTCAGTTCTTTTCCTTTACTGATGCTTTCTCTGACTTCCATACCCATGGCCTCTGGATCTTGGGGGTCGGAGTTATAAGGATCGCCAGAGACTACCTGGATTTCGGGTAGAAGATCAACCAGCGAACGAACTGTGGTTGACTTCCCAGTTCCACGATCTCCCATTATCATGACACCTCCAATCTTGGGATCAATCACATTCAGGAGAAGGCAGAGCTTCATTTCGTCCTGTCCAACTATGGCTGCAAATGGATAAACTGGCCTCTGACTGTCCTTATCAACAACTCTCTTTGCCTGCAGATCATAATTCACAGCTTTTATTATTCATGCAAATGGCACTCCTAGAACTTGGTATCTTCCTAAGAACATTTTCTTTCCTCAAAACACAGTATTCATCAGTACATTCTGCTTCCTGCAACTCTAAATTACTGCAAATCTGACTTAAGGGCACCTCCAAATCTCCAATTAACATTACAAAATATTGCCATACCTGATCAAAGGTGTTAATATCGGTGAAAAATACGATGACCTTCCTATTCACATTCACAAATCTTGTTTCAATGAAAGACCAGCAATTGATAATCTATCCACCTATGTAGATTCCCCTTTCTCATAATGCTTCAACTAGTAGTACATTCTGCTCTTCCAAGACTAAATTGCTGAAACCCTAATCGAAGGGCACCTCCAAATCTCCAATCACACTCAAAATATACACAACTCGACCAACTAGAACCACTAACTATGAGTACTGACAGTAAATCATCAAAGAGAAAAATAAACAAGATACCTGATCCACGGCGTTGATATCAGTGGCGACATTGACAACCTGCAGCTGCGCCCTTCCTTTCTTTCCCCGGATTCCCACCCCGCCATTGTACTTCCTCCAATAGCTTTGCCCTGCACATAACATAACAACGTAAACACACTTCCCTTTGAAGATCTTGAAAACCTAATTCCATTTCAGTTCACAGCGTGTGAACGGAATGACGATTGATGGGGAAATCTTTACCTGTGACTAGGGAAAGCGAAGGAAAGGAAGGCTTGGAAGTGGAAGAACAGAAGGGTCTCGACGCCAAAACTGCCGCGGAGGGAATCCCCAGAACCGACGCCATGGGCAACTGGGGTAGACGAGACGGGATTGCTTTCTTCTGTCAATTTCGCGGGCAATGGTTTGGATTTCTTGGAGGTTTGCAGCTTTTCTTGGGTTTTGAGAGGATAAGTGGATGGATAGCAGAAAGAAGAACCAGGAGCTACTTGTGCGGCTCGTTTTCGGTTACTTGTTGCCTAAAATGAGAAAGAAGAACTAAAATAAATGGTTAATTACTTTGAAGACCCTGTATGATGCAACCATTAGCAAACGAGTCCTTATTTCTGAAAATTTGAACAATTTAGTTCTCGAAGAGTCAACAACCCGCTTGAAAACGGAGCATGCGTCTGCTATATATTTGAGGCAGATTCGAATTGCGCCGGACACCAAATTTTCCGTTCAAATAAAATCCCTGCTCGCTTCATACGCAGCATTTTCTCTGAAACCAAACATAGTCGAGCTAGTGGTAGATTCAGGAATCAGGCATCGCGCTGGTAATCGAAGGTAGGTTGATTTCTCTTTCTCTCTTGAGAACTCTGAAATTGAGTTTGCCGCCGTTCTGGTTAGGTTTCTAAGACGAATAGTGCGATTTCCTATTTTCCTTCGTTGCCTTTTCTCTGATCTCGACGCCGTCTCTGTCGTTCGTCGGATCTATCTGAATCTCGTCGCTCCGTTCTCTCTGTCGTATTTTCTTCCGGTAGACTGTTCACTTAGGTTTCTTCGTCGAACTGTGCGATTTCCTTGTTTACATTTCTCTAATCTCGACGTCGAGTCCGCGTCGTTCGTCCTCTCGTAGATTCGATCTCCCTTTCTCGTGCATTCAGCGACTAGATTCGTCTAATCTGTTATTTCTCTTTTCAGATGGCGGAGCAGAAGAAGGAAGCTGGCGGCAAAGAGAAAAAGTCCTTTCTCGGTAAGTTTGTGACGATATGCTGCTTATATGGAGGAAATAGGTTTTACTGGCGCTTTGATTTTGGTTGCATGCTACTGTAGTCCCTTGATGTTGTCTTTTTCTGCGAATTATCAAGAGATGGTCGTGGAAGATACCACACATGAAGTTATGACGAAGAAACTAATTGAATCTTCATATTTGAGTCCTAGTGATTAAGATAGCAACATATATGAATAGCAAACTTCTGAAGCCTGCTCTGTGATCTATTTTCTCATTATTGAGATCTGCAGAGTTCCATTTTCTCGTTATTTGGCCGCTAAAGCTTACTGCAGTGTCTATATGGATGATTATGCTTTTATTTTTTACTCACTGGGAAGTTCATCTTCTAATGTTCAACTATGTGCTGAACAGATGATGGAATTGGAGATGATTTCCTTGGCTCGTGGAAGACAATGTCAGTGGATGACAGTATGGATTTCAACATTGAAACGGTTCCGAAGGGGGGTAAAAAGAAGAAATTCAACTTTGGAAACTTGTAAGTTCAGGGCAAGTATGAGATATTATTAATGTCTTTCTAATTGAAGCCTGGAGATCGATTTAAACCCTATTATGTACATACCCTTTCTGATGCGGTTTCAGGGTTTTACTTCAAGTTGTTTATGATTAATGGAACCTTCTATATAAGATTAGCTAGGGATCAAATCTTGATTGTAGCTATACGTTTCTTAGAATGTCACTATCTTGCTTGATTCCACCTGAATTTTGGCCATTATTTATGTCACTTGCTCAAAAGTAAGTCAGTTGAGAGTAAATATGCCTGTTACCTTGTCTTTCACTTAAATCTGATGAATGCTACAGCACATTTTTGCCATGGGTGTATATAAATACCATTGTTGTTTATCCAGGGACATGGATTTTAATCTGGATGGAGATTTCGGCAAGTTACCATCCTTCAAGATGGACATGCCAGACCTTGATTTCTCAAGCCCCGACAATGCTTCAAAACCGAAGGACAAAGTGGATAGAGGATCCTCTAGTGCACCTAAGAAAGGAAAATTAGATGCCTTTGACATGTCTTTTGATTTTGACGGGTATGTTTACAGTATCTCTGTAAGATTTTTATGGATACCGTATTCTCTAGGAATGTGTTGATGGAGGATATAAATTATCCTTCAATTTCTTATACGCCTATCATTTCTTTATTACAATTCAGGTTCGACAGGTTCAACCTTGATGGAGACATACTCAAAGGAGATGATAAATCTCCTGCAACAAAGCACACTGACAAACACGGGGCTGCTATGACTGGCTGTGAACGTCATGACCCTAAAATCCTGATTGCTGGAGTAGCTGATGGATCTGAAAGCAGCCACACAGAGGACTCGACAGCATCAGAGAATATAATCAATCAGGCAGACAAGACTGCTGTAGCCCCTAAAGGAACTGACAACGCTCTCAGAGGAGATGACAGTAAAGTAGAAACTTACGTTGAGCATGCAGCAGAAAGCTCATCAGAAGAAATAGTTGGTGTTAGAACTGAAGGAACAAATGAGCAGGGCTCATCCTCAGATATATATACTCCCAGGGATCAATGTATCCCATCCCCAGTTGAAGGCATAAACAAAAACCAATGTGCTGAACATGCTTTGCAGTCCACGGCATCACAATCCCTTGGTGGGAGCGATTCTATCCAGGATGCCCAATCAGATGTACAGCCGGAGGCTGATTGCTTGGATTCGAGAGTGACTGTGAAGTCAGATGCAGAGCACCCTCTTATTGGTTTAAGATCAATCGACGAGAACCAAAAACAACTTAGCAAATCAAATCATCTGAATACTAATGGCCAGGAGGGCAAGAAAGGTGTGAACAGAGAGATTTTTCCTGAGAGCACTACAGAGGGTACGAAAGAGACTGAGCCAGTGGCTACTGGTACAGATTCCGAGGACAACCAGAAGTCAAGCTCTACAGATTTGCCAACTGAAGAGTACGAGTTCTAACAAATTTTAATATTTTTCGCTTCATTGTCTGATCGGTCATAAATTTCCAAAATCAACTCTATGAAGCTTCAGCAAAGACACTGAATGTGTGAGATGTGGATGGTACTCTCAACTGATTGTTGAACCTTTTCCTAAATCTTTACTGATTCTTTTTCGTGTGCTTAATGCAGCGAACCAGTAACTGATAATGATGCAATTACAAAGGCAGAAGGCACGAGACTTGTCCAATCCAAATTCTTTAGAAAATCTGGTGATGTTAGACCTCCTCTTGCTTCATCTAGTCTGCGTATCTCCTCGTTTGGGAGTTCGGAATTGGCTAGCAAACAGTTGAATCATCTCGGAAGCGTGAAACTGTAAGTATTGTTTTACTGTTTGTTGCTTTTTCCCAGATTCCTTTTTGTTGTTGTTTTGTTTTCTCATAGAGAACTTTAATTCTAGTGATGTTCAAACTGGAAGAAACTTGGGTGGTCAGCTGAGGTTACTTTCTTCTGATTCGAGAAAAAGTGCACCACCACCTGCTTTACTGAAACCGTAAGTGGTGCTTTTACTGTTACTGCTTTTTCCAGCTTCCTTTCGGTTTGTTGTTCTTGTTTTTCTCATAGAGAGACATTCTATTTAGCGATGTTCAAACTGGACGAAACTCGGGTGGTTATCTGAAGCCACTTCCTACTGAGCTGAGAAAAAGTGCAACGCCTGCTTTACTAGTTGGCAGAAAGAATGTTAAAAATACAGCTACCAGCAGGTTAGTAATTCAAAAATTAATTGAAGCAGTGATGTATCTCTGTTCAAGCCTTTTCTTCCTATAATTTTGTTTTTTCTGAATGAAACAGTTCATGCAAGGATGAGGGAATACATGATGCTAACGTGCCAACTGATACTCCAATACCTCCTGATAAAGTGGTAGCTAAAGGGGCACCAGTCATTCTCAGAAGTGTAAGCAACACAAAGGATCCCGATAATACTAGGTGAGACTGTTGACTTGTTTACTCTAGAACTAAAACCTGCTGTGATTTGGAATTTGCTTCTTTGAAACTCAGATGATTGTCTGCTTTGCAGTGGTGAGGGCAATGCTTCCAGCTCTGTTGATAAGATGCCCAAGTTCAACATTCCGAGAAGTATGAAGTCCTCCTTACCGGCTATGAGATCAGTTCCGAGTTCAAGGGTCGTACCTCTTAAGGCACTTAAATCTGAGAATCAGATGCTGCCTAATCTGTCAAGCTTCAAAGTTCCAAGGCATGATACTCTAGACAGATTTCTGTTGTGCACATCTTGGTTGCTACGTATATTTTATGGGTGCCTATCATTCTATCCAGGAATATGGAAGTAAACAGAGATCAACAAAATGTGCCTAACAAAACCTTGAAAGGCTTGTCCAAAATCACAGAAGCACAACAAAATGTTGCATCGTTGAAAATTACTCATCCTGTCACCCACGAGCAGAGGAAGAAATCATTGAAGAGAGACACAGAGGTTCCCTTCTTTCTTTGGTCTCCCAGTCACTCTTTATTTTCTTGCTGCTCCAACAGTATCTAGTTAAGATAATCAAACTTCCATGTGCAGGCATTTAATTCAGATTTGGCGCCATTGAACCCCCGTAAACGCCTTTCTCCATCACGAGATAAAATGAGGTACCTCTACTGTTGTAGGTTAGAGATTCCTGTGATGGTGGTGTACTAACTTGACTTAACCTCCACATCCCTGCAGAATGTCAGATGAACAGACAGAAGGCGTTGCTGGAGATCAGGTATATTTATGCCCTAACAAATATCTGTATGCTCAGAAATATGTTCTGCTTTAAGCTTTGATTGCGTGATATCTAAACCTACAAGAGAGTTGATATTTCTGGTAGGTATACAGTACGGATAGTGAAGTAAGGAAGGAATCCGGAAGCATGCCTCACGGTCAGCCTATCTCCGGATACCCAGGTCCTCAGGAAGTGAACTTGGAAGAACCTAAAATTGACCGAATTCAGATGGCTTCGGAATATGGCAGAAAGATTGATGAAGTAAGTTAGTAAGGATGCAGTAGAATAATGCCCTAACAAAGATGTGTATGCTCAGAAATATGTACTGCTTTAAGCTTGATTGCGTGATATCTAAACCTACAAGAGAATTGATATTTCTGGTAGGTCTACTATACGGATAGTGAAGTAGGGAAGGAAGCCGGAAGCATACCTCTCGATCAGCCTATCTACGCTTTCCCAGTTCCCCAGGAAGTGAACTTGGAAGAACCTAAAATTGATCGAATTCGGATGGCTTCGGAATATGGCAGAAAGATTGATGAAGTAAGTTAATAAGGATGCAGTAGATTATTGTCCTAAACTGTGGAATCTCTACTGTACATATTTTTAGTTCCTGAAACGCGATCTTAATATATGTTGTTTCCCCCCTGCAGCTTTGCAACATGATGAAGAAAATGAACGAGCAAGCAAAGGAGCTAATGGTTCGATCAGTTGTGAACAACAATAAGCTACTACTACTGAATCATCGAGAGGTAGACGAGAAGATATCCTTTAGTTTCTAATCTTTTTCATCCATTTAATTTGCGATGATGTTCTTCTCATGATAACGCAAATTGATTTCCTTGACGATTCAAAACATTCGCATTGCTATGAGATATGCTGGGAAGTCCGGTGGAGAATAATTTTAGAGGCAAGCATTAAGAATCAACAGCTGGTACCTCCATCTCTCCATTTATCGTGCTCAATACTTTGAGCGACATTGTAGTTTTAAGTAGGCTTAACACCTTCATATTCTGCTGAAAATTCCAGATACGCTAATGGAAGTCCTCTCTTTTGTGATCTGAAAGCTTTACACCTGATCTTGAAGGCCTCGAGGTAAGTACAACAGTAACCTGACTTTTTCCTGCTCAACTGTGCCTTGCAATTAGACAGTAATGCCGTTAACCGAGGGCCTAGCAGTCGTAGTAACGCACTCTAAAGTGAACTGCTTGTAGTACTTCCGAATTTGGACATGAATCATTAACCACAGGACTAAATCATCATAATGTTGTCCCCTTAGGCCAAAAAGAAGGTATTTTTGAATACCTATGTTTGGTATCATGGTGAGTTTAGGTTAGGGCTGGGAAATCGGGCTCCTTTTGTTGGATTAAACCGAAACCGAACCTATAAGAATCTTATCGGTTTCAGATTTTTTGGTCCCTAATGGCCAATGAGTTTGATTTTGAACAGGTTTTGGTTTCGGTCTAAATAGAAATCAAACCTACAAGAATCTTATCATTTTTGTGCTTTTGGTTCCCGCATCGATTTGTGTTTTAACGGTTTCAGTTTAAATTGAAAGCTGATAAGAAACCGAACCCAAAAGCTTGCTCTAATCGAAATTACTACAAATTGTGCATGGGTTTTGGTATGTTCTAACCGAAACCAACCCTGTTAATAGCTGAAAACCGATAAGCCCCCTAATGAGTTCGGTTCTGTGTTGGGGAAACAAGCTAGATAGTCTCTCTTTCTTTCTTTTTTTCCTTGATTTTGGTTCGGTTAACCAAACCGCTTTAGGTTGTGGTTCCAACCTTGATCTGCCACCAGGACGAAATAAGCTTTTTCAGCAATCTCCAAGTTGAAAAAAGCCCAACCCGCGATCGACGGTCTGACCACCGAATTGAATAATTGAAACGAGGGAAGCCAAGTAGCGCAAAATCAAGTGCGGGCGTTTGCCAATCTTAAATTTTGTTTGAATCCTCTTTCTTTTCCCTCCTCACCGCCCCCACCAAACAAGCTGAAACTGCTAGGCGCGCTGGTTTTCCGCTCTCAATTGAAACTTAAAACCCCAAATCCAAAAAATAAAGAAACCTTGGAATGAAATGAGCGAAAACACAAATTCCTCTTCCCTCCAAGAAAGAACGAAACTCAAATCTCTTACCCAAAATTCGAAGAACCTTCAAAAATTGCAAATCTACCCTCCAAATCTTGCCACCCCCTCCCTTTACATATACGAAATGCTGCCTTCTCTCCACTCTCACCTTCAGCTACAGATCCCTCTCTTCGATCCCCTTTCACCGATTCAACCCTCATTTCTCCTAGCTGCAATGGCGATTTGCTATCTGGGTGAGACCGATAGCAACAAGGAGAACCTCCCACCAAACTCAGAGCTCCCCAGATCCCCACTGTGTAAAGCCAAGCAGCAACGGCCTGTCAGAAGGCCGCTTGAAGACATCTCTCATCTCTTCTCTCTGTCGACTCAACTCGGCCTAGACCGTCCCAGGAGGACCCCTTCGCCTTCGCCTTTAGCTCCCTCCGCTGCCGGCAAGGTGAAATGCATGAAGAGGAAAGCCGGCAGCTGTGTCAATTCAGCTTCGAAGAAGACTACTGTCAAGTATAAGAGTATAGTTTTCAGATAGATTGTATAAACAATTAGCAGTAACAAACAGGGTTCTAATCTCTCTCTGTCTCAATTCTTTAGCCTATTGGGTTTTGCTTTCTCCCCCCCTCTTTCTGTTGTCTAAATACTGAGATTGGGTAGGTCCTGGAAATCGTTTCGATTATATTACAGTATCCCTTTGGCAGAAAGAAAGCAATGGAGGGAGAAGCAAAATTTGCCAGCCCCAGTTCCCATTTCTCTCTTGGCCTGAAATTGTAGTGAGTGGTGACGAACAACAGCATGGATTATGCTAATGACTAGCAAAGTGGATCTTTTTTCTCTCTAAAGTTTAGTAGCACTAGAGAACACACCTTCATTTAACAACCAATTGAAGTACCCTCAAAGATAATGTCAAATAGCCTTACCTTTCTCTCTTCCTTTTTGTGGTTGAGCTGCCTCCCTTTCTCATCGAAAAACAGTGTCTGTTTTGTGATAGAGACTGACATGTATGCCCGAGCGAGGTTACCTATGTGAGTCGGTGATTCGACTTCCAAGTACGCATACAGCTCTGCCGGTGGTCATCAAGAACCATGATTTGAGTTTAGTTCTTACAATTAGAATGTGAAAGGGAATAAGGAATTAGCTTCATTTCCTACCTCCTAGGCAGTGTTCAAGATCAAGGGCAGATGGCCGCCACTGGAATTACTTTTTGAAGCGTACAGTCTCACTTTGCTGCTTTCTTAATCATCCTTCTCACTAATCTAACCTCATATTGGTTTTCCACCATTGCTTAGGGTGACCTTTGCTCCATTACATTAACAAAATGCTTAAAGAGCCATCCAAAACCATTCTGACCTTACAAACCCATTTCCATCCACTTCGGATTGTTTAAGGGGGGCAAAAGGAAAACGTCAAAACGCCTACCCCTTTCCATCTCTACTATATAATGCTACATTCAGGACCCAAGTCTGGGAAGCTCAACTCAATTCGTGGTGAGGCAAAATAACAAAAACAATGGCCGGATTCAGGAATTTCGTGTGCCTAGTAACGATTCTGTCGTTGCTTTCGCTGCTTCCATTGTCGTCGGAGTCCAGGGCACTTCATCATCCCCTGGATGCATCCACGGCGAGAATGAATTTGATCAGAGCGATTCGAGCATTTGGCGAGAGCCAGGGTCACAACGACGAAGCAGCTGGAGGAAGTAAGAGCAAGAGCAGAGCTGCTTATTATGCTTCCAAGAGACTGAGTCCCGGAGGCCCTGATCCGCATCATCATTGATGCAACTCCAGCTTTTGTAATGGAATCAGTCTGTTATGCTGACAACCATTGTAAGCGCGTATGTCGACGATCTTCGAATCAAATCCCCATGTCGTTCATCGTCAAGATTGCGTTGTGGAGGAGACGATTTGATAGTTTCTGCCCGTGCTTACAAGTCTCCCCTGTCAACAGAATAAACTGAACCTGCTTTAGAGACCCTCCATAGTACAGAGAAGTTGACTTCTTTTCCCCCAAATGATTCAAGTTGGATTGTGTATTAGATATATACTAATACTACTTTTGGATTCACGTTGTGTTGTTAATGTTATTCAAGTGGTTGGATATATATTTTTATTGGGTAGTGATAGTTATAAACTTAGTGCTGGGATATCATATCAGTTTCCGGTTTTTGGTCCGAAACTGATTTGTACCTTATCAATTTTGGTTTAAACCGAAAAGCTGACAAGAAACCGAAATTGAAAACACTAGGTGAGAGGTGTAGGGGGTTCCGTTTCGGAGAACCAACCTAGTTCGATTTTCGGTTTTTATTATGACTTCGTTTCGGTTAACCGAACCGACACCACTACTTATAATTGATGGTGAAGCCCATCATCTTCTGATCACTTTTTGCAATCATTTGAATAAGTTATTGAGCATGCAACGCTCACCGTTCACGTATGGTCCTATGGTTTATACTCTGACAAACAAATATGGAAGCTTTACTTTGTCCTTTCTCGTTGATGAGTATCTGAGTGAAAGCAACAGACTGCAGCACTGAAACTCAAAATCAGTGGCTGTATGTATGTCATTAAGCTCATTGAATTGCTTGGATGATGTCACAGTAGCAGATTGAAGTCTGTAAAGTAGATGTTCTTTTTTTTTTCCTTTCTGGTTTGGAAGATTGCGGAATGATTCCTCTCCAATTAAGTAATTAAGCTAGTTGCACATAGTAGGAATGGGTGGGTTACTGTCCAGTCCATAGTTGTTTAAAATCGGGTCATCTCGGCCGGTTCAATCGGCCTGACCGAGCATTGCTCTTCAAGATCTACAGATTTCCAAGGGCCAAACCCTTAAAATCTATTTCAAGTCTATGCAGATTATATTTCGTACATCATATTTCAAGGATCACACTTGACACAAAGCCACACAAATGAGATATAAGGAGGTCATCAACAAAGACAAGATGGATTTAGAGAGATGATTTTACATTAAGGAGGAGGATTTTCCATAAATGTTTGCTCATAAGCAACTGACAAACATCTAACATGCTTGGCCCTCCTCTGGATCCAAAATTAGTATAACACTTATAATTTTTTTTCAATTTAGGGGTCGTTTGGATGGAGTATTTGTATGAGTTATTTGGGTTCAAATAACTCACAGTGAGTTATTTGGCAGTGTTTTACTGAAATGAGTTATTTGGACAGTGAGTTATTTACAAATAACTCAAAACGAGTTATTTGAAATAACTTATACCCATGTGTTATTTCGAAATAACTCGTTTTATCCCTCTGCTTTTACCAAATACCACATTTGTATGGTTCAACCAAACGAGATACTTTATTTCAAATACCACTGAAATAACACTGAAATACCACATGAACAATAAATGAGTTCTTTGACTCTACAAATACCACATTGACAATTAACTCATCCAAACGACCCTTAAGGTATTCGATCGGGTGCTATTCAAGTGCCGCCTAGTGTTATATTTTATTATTTTCTATTCAAAGGCGGTACAGTGCTCAACTATGTCCTACATTCGCCGCTGTTACCATCGAAACATGCTTGCTTGCTTGCTCACCATCGCGATAATAAAACTCCATTGTCCAAAACCTTGTAGTTTTTCCCCCCGGTTAACTTCATCCAAAGAGGAACACTTCATTCTCATCATCTTTTAGTGCACTTGTTTTTTTCCCAACAAAATTACATAAGCTTTAAGCTGTAGAGCACAACCCATGAAAAAAGCAGTGACTCCTTTCCCATAATTGCTTGATTAGGTTCTCTCATTAATTAGTCTAAATTTAATTTCCTCTCTTCTTCCTCTTATTTTTTGCACTTTTTCAAATGGACACCTACCGCCATCGGCCATACAATAATCACGCAATTCCTTCAGTTATCTGTACGGCTTTATTCTGGTTGGGTCGTCTCTTTTATTGTTTGCCGGCCGGCCGACTTCTTCCCTTTCACTTTCCCACTTTTCCTTTGCAAGTTGCTCAACTTATATATATATATACGTGTAGAAAATAAAAATAGTAGCCTTGTGCATGGCATTCTATATTATAGCACTAACGTTCCCACTTATCAAAATGCGATCAGACCCGTCGCCCCTTCTCGCCATTAGAATAAAAGTACGTGTGCCCTTTCGCTTTTGCCCACTCGATCGATAGAGTATTGAACTCCTAGCTGTGTCTTTCGAAGTCAAGTAATGGTCGTTTTCAGAGGAGGGAACCCACCATTTCAGTATTCCAATCAGGGATGAGGGTAAGAATGGTAATGGGCAGGTTGGAGTGGGTATCTCGACATTCGTATTCGTTTCATGACAAGTCGGGCCCAAATCGTGCATTTTGTTTTTAGATGTGTATCGAGGCAGGTCAATCATGCATTGATACATTAACTTTTTGGGTGTGCCTACGGTGACATGCATGTCACGGTGACTTGCACTTTCCGGTCGACCTCAGTTAGGATTAGGTCGACCTCATATAGAATTCGGTCGACCTCATATAGGATCCGGTCGACCTCATTTAGGATTCGGTCGACCTCATATAGGATCCGGTCGACCTAATATGTTGTTTCAGTGTAAAAACAGTTTATGGTGCCTACTTTGGATATTCATATCATACAATTGGCTAGATGGAAATTGAAGACTAATGACTTGTTTTGAAGCTGGAGTGTCCCTCTACATATTGAAGTGATTGAGAGCTCGATAGGAAGTCCAGAAGACCATTTTTGAACCTCATCAAAAGGCTATGCCAAAACTGGGAAACTGCCTAGAAATGGCTAAGTCTGGAAACGTGTTTGTGAAGCCTATTTTTGAGCTCAATTCGAGAAGCATGAATGCGAGTCGAGTCCAGGAGCCTCTACCACGTTAAATTAGGTATGTTTTTATACAAATTCAAGGAATTGGATGAAAGATTGGATATCTTTAAGGCTTCAAACAAAAGGGTCGAAGTTGCTACGAAGGTTGTTTTTCTGGCAGACTTCGAGCACAAGCAAGCTGCCAGAAAAACAGCCTTCGTAGCAACTTCGAGCCTTTTGTTTGAAGCCTTAAAGATATTCAATCTTTCATTCAATGCCTTGCATTTGTATAAAAAAAATACGTAATTTAACGTGGTAAAGGCCCCTGGACTTGACTCGCATCCATGCTTGTGAAATTGAGCTCCAAAGTAGGCTTGACAAACACGTTGCCAGACTTAGCCATTTTCAGGCAGTTTCCCAGTTTTGGCATAGCCTTTTGGTCAGGTTCAAAAATGGTCTTCTGGACTTTCTATTGAGCTCCCAAGTACTTTAATGTGTAGAGGGACACTTCAGCTTCAAAACAAGCCTTTAATCTCCAATTTCCATCTAGCCAATTGTAAGATATGAATTTCCAAAGTAGGCACCATGAAACTGTTTGTACACTGAAACAACTGATTAGGTCGACCTGATCTTATATGAGGTCGACCGAAAAGTGCATGTCACCGTGACATGCATGTCACCGTAGCAAAGTCCTAACTTTTTTCATAATTTTTTTTGACAAATAAGCTATAATATGATGAATGTAGTTAAATTTTTCGAGAAATTGAAGTTCTCATCTATTTACAACTTTATTATAGCTAAAATATGATGTAACAAGTGTAAAATATTAAGTGTTTTTTTGTAAAATTACATATAATTTACACAATAACGGATTGAGAATGAGACGGGTTGGGGCAGGTAAGGTCGAGGACAATACTCATACTTGCCCCGCTCTGCACTTCCTATCGGGTGGGTATTAACCCGTTCAAAAACATGTCAAATAGCTCGGGTAGGACGGGTCAGGTCGAAATTGCAATCCCTGGATGAGGGATGTGGGTTTTGGAGCAATATTTCAAAGATTGTAAAACCGTACCACAGGTTGCACCAAAAAGTTCAACGATAGAGTATTTTATGTTGAAACCATAGTTGAATGTGGGTCAACTATTTCATACCGTTAAAAACCGCCTACCAATTTAGGTTCCGTAGAAAATTTTCTCGATTAGACCGCCAATAAGTTACACTAGTGTTCTACAAACACGGCGATACTCAGATGCTGAGGGGCTGGCCGGCGGTGAGAACTCATGATTCATGCCTATAGTAAAACAAATTGATTGGAAAATAAAGAAAAGGCCGCAAAAGACAAGAGATTGGTCACTGGAGAAAGTAGAAAATGGACCATAAAGGTGAATTTGTTGGGTAGCGAGGAAATTTGGAGGTTGGGAAAAACCCTGTCCAGAACTAGACAAATTACTCCACCGGTGGAAACTGGAAAAGCCAAACTAGCAATAGAAGTAGGACGAGAAGTCAGCTTATCTAAAAAGACAAAATAGCCAGTCGCTTTCCTGCCACATACTCAAACGAAAAGAACCCCAACTTTTGGTTTTGGATGTTCATTACCTTAATTTTATATTTATTATTAGATATTACTTAATTGATTCTAAAATGTGATCTTTAGGTTGAAAACTAAAGATAAAATTGCTAATTCAAATTTTTCGTTCGTAGATACTCGTTAGTCTTAGCATTCGAGTTCGAGTTTCCTGCCTAGTGTTCGAGTTCGGTCTCTCCCAACATATAATCCTAATCAAGATTCAAGAAAGCACTAAGAGAAAGACGGATGTTGGGATCTTAACTTTCTCATTTTGATATATAGACTCTATTCCGCCATGCATTCTAGATTCATAACTCGTCGTGAAACCCTTATAGGAGACGTTCTGGCAATGCCTGATGCCTAAGCTAGTCCAATCTTAAGTTTAAGCACGTCTTTTCAAACATAACTACGGTCCTAATACTAATCTATTAGTTTTTTT